TATGTTAACTATATTTGTATAGTATACAAATAAACTGCTGCCAAAAAACCGCGAGATCAAAACACTGGTAAAACAGTGTATGTGTATCAGTCAAATGCGGAAAATTCTCAGTTCTGCATAATAAGCGTGTGAAGTAAATAATTCTATGAAATCAACAAGTTCTTCAGTTCTTCAGAATTACTGTAACACTTTATAAGCTACTTAATTATTTCAGTTTTTTCTTTATTTCCGGTATGATTTTTTTTAATGGGAAGCCTTTTCAATATACATGAATGTAATGCAAATCAAAGCGTGAGAATTTGTTTGTTATTGTTACATTTGACTTGTAACTTTTAAATCTCGTGTTTAATATGCATGGCCATATTTTTTTTAATCATATTCCTAATACTGATGAAGATCATGCACTATCTAAGGGTTGAAAATGGATTACATTTTAATAAATTTCAAATTTCAAATTTCAAATTTCATTATTTCTCACAGATTTAATGAATAATTACTTCAATGTGTTAGAACTTATCAGTTTAGATTAAGATATCTTTTCTAGTAGAGAACTTTTCCTGAATAATCTGACTTCTGTTCTAATTATTTTCCGAAGAAATTTTTCTGAATAACAAAAACCATGGAATTAATTAGGAAATGTAAAATGTAATTTCTATTGACAAAAAGAAAAAGTGCATGTAATAAATTGAATGTCTTTATTAACTGAATTGGTTGTTTATCGAAAGGCGTCTAACAGCTTGTAAGCGTAATGGCATCGTCCGATAGCGCAACTTACAAATGCCGGTTTGATCACCTTTTAAGATTTGTTTTTAATCTTTACTATTGAAATTTTCAGCGTTCCAAAATGTTTTGACGGAAATGGCAAACAGTACTCCGAAGTTGATAGTCAGAATGCTGGACTTTTTTAATCGATACTGTCCGTATCAGTGAATAAGTTAACTTATAAACGATAAGCACTAATTTTGTCTCGCTCCATGATTACTAGAATATGAACATGTTAGCCTTGTCCTTAATTCCTCTGAATTTTTCTTTGATAAGATAACCTCATTCCAAGAACACCACTGTAAAAAAGATCTGTGTTTACTTGGATTCATTTTTATCAATAGACACCAAAGGACGTTTGAATACAAAATTTGACAAACGAGCAGGTTTGAGTTTCCAAATTGTTTATTTTCCGTTTATCAGAAGCAATGCTTTTGGTCAACAATACGAATCGTTATTGTGTAAGTGTATAACCAGATAACTGTTGATCGCAGACATATTTTCATAAAGTCACCTATTGTGTTAAGAATTAAGATATCTTCTGTAATTTAAATAGCGAAGCAGGATAATAAGTTGACCCATCTTGTATATGTATGCATCTGATATCCCCGTATATTGATATGGAAGTTCGTATTGCTCAAAGTATCGGTTAACGTGTTTGCTGAACATATAGATGTCTTCAGTTGGTTCGGATGCCTTTTTAGTTTTGATGCTCAGAAACGTTTTAAATATTTTTCTTTCCATCTTTGAGCTTAAAAGACCCGATGAAGATTAATCTAGGAACATACGTCATGATCACTGAAACTGCCTATTGGGTATGGGTTTTGATAACATGGGACTCACTATATCAATGCACTTCCTGATAACTCCTCGTGGATTTATGGACGTTCAAGTTTGAATCATGCAAGTTCATTTGAAAACACTGGGGAGGAATGATTATATTTTTATAGAGATTCGAATTTATACCAATGTTTATATGGTATCGTTTATATAATGAATCCAATCTTTTTATGTAAAAACAATATTGTTCATTTCGCTTTAACTGAATTGGTTTTAAAAACAAATAAAAGATTATTTGCAAATTAAATACCTTTTGTTAAAATGTTGATTCATTATTTTGGAAAAATCAATAAAAGTTTGGGTAAATATTATTTAAAAACCCTTATAAATATTATAAGCAAACAATCATATTTATGACACATAATGAACATGATCTGGTTATATTTAAGCTGAAATCTCTTTTGATTTCCTCCATATTACGTAGATGTGGGATATACGCCAATGAGACAACAATCCAACAATACGTTAATAAATTACAAGCGCAAGAACAAAAGGCAGTATACAAAATCATAGGCCTTTAACACAATTTAAAATTGAAAAGTTGTACATTATACATTAGGATAACTGTGTATGTTTATGATATGATCTATTAATATAAATGAAGTTGGTAGTTTAATGGGAATGGGGATGGGGGAGGGGGAGGCCGGGGGGGGGGGGGGGGGGTTACACGGAGTTTCATGTTAGTTCTTTCAATAGAATATGATATTTACATGTTAATAGATTGTACTCCCGTGACAAAATACGAAAATGGAGTGCTATTAGCATCATATTTTTAGACAATTCGACCATGGGGTCAGTGTGTTGTCATTACTTGGTGTCCGTCGTCTGCTTGCTAACTTCACACACCTCCTTCATCTCTTATGAAATTACTAGAGCATACTTGACAAAAATTATGGATGGAATATCCCATATAAACTTTTACATTTCGTTTTGCTCAGGCAAGAAACATGACCGTCAGGGAGAATTTTAAATTCTAATTGATCAATTCTCTTGGGAAATTCAATTTTCATCCTCTTCTCTGAAACTACTTCATAAATATCTTTCCTTAAACCATACCAAAAACCCGCATCAAGAAGGTATGGAAAGTCTTTTAGATCAAAACAAGCTGCCGATTATAGAATTGTTCTCATCTAATGTGAAAGCAGTCGTAATGTTTCCTTGAGTGATGGTTGTGAACCCCTCCACAAAGATTACCTATTTAGTGCTTAATGGATAACATTCATTACACACCACTAACCCCTATAAGAAATCACATTTCATATTCTTATCTGAAACAACTACATGTATGAAATGCACGCAAATCTGAAAGAGACTTTTCAAAAACATTTCCTTATTATATCTGTTTAGTTAGTTTATAACCGCACCTGAGATACCCCCGGTTTTTGATGGGGTTCGTGTTGATCAGTCTTTAGTGTTCTTAATGTATGTTGTGTTTTGTGTACTTTTGTTTTGTCATTTCGTCGTTTTTTGCCATGGCATTGTCAGTTTGTCTCGACTTATGAGATTAAATATCCCTTTGGTATAACTCGCCTCTCGTTTGTCTATTTTAGCCGAAAACATGAAATTTGTTATAGAAAATTTGGTACGGATTCAGATCTTTATTAGGATAATGTTACCTTCAAAATGCATAAAATACAATGCAAATAGTTAAACTCTGGATAAAATGTATTAAAGCTCACAACACTGTCTAAAAACAAACTCTAAATAGACTGCATGCTTAGTTTAATCCTATTTGTATATTTTATAAAGTTGGTGTCGATCTCAAGGCGACTAAATATGTTTGACAATAAGCATAAATGTGTAGTTTAAGGCGAGCCTTTAGATGTATACTTTATTACATAATTTTTTTTACTCTTAAGTTGTTACCCCTTCCACCTATAATATTTTATACTTATAAAATGTATTACACATTATTGCCCGCTATATAAATAATTTTTATTATGAATTTTCACAGTACCATTTAAAAAAAACTTAAATACTGTAATACGGTCCGCAAATTATATGCGTGATGTTTAGTACATTTTTATTTTTTTTTAGTTTGGTTTGATCAATTATCTACACCTGCTACGTCCTTGGATTATTCGTTTATTTTTTTTAAAATGCAAAGTTGGAAAACAAAACAGAATTGAAAATTTGGATTACAAAAAATAATGATTGATCATCCTTTCAAAATCTGAATAAATGTGAGACAAGTGTGACGCCGATTCTGTTTGCACTTTCAAGCGAAAAAAAATAATGACAAGCTAGCCTATTCTGTTGCTGGGTCGCTTTGCAAGTCAACTGATTTTTTTTTTAGTTTTCTGAGACACATTGAATCTTACCTAACAATAACAAATACATGTGTCTCAAGTGATCATGTGGGAAACTTAAGTATTATTCAAAAATTCAAGTGAAATAACTTTCATTTAAAATCTGGATTTTCCGAAGTGAAATATTTTATATCCATTTAATTTGTCAAGTCGGTATTAGATGTTATAAATTCGCCATTAAAAACATCCACAAAGGGACCATCAAGTAATTTAGCTATTAAACGAAGCAAAGCTTATACGAGATGTTAAACAGTTCAACATATATTATATTGATGCTAAACATTTTATGAATATACAGTTAAATTTTAATATTCAACATAACGTTTATAGATAGAATTTTTCTTTTAGATGTACAGAATATAATTATACATCTGCATTTATGTACATATGAGGTTAAGATGACTCAATACATACATTCCTAGGCGGTGAGGCAGAGGAGTGGTGCATAAAACTCATCAATGATACCAGGCTTATAATTTTGTACGCCAGACGCGCGTTTCGCCTATAAAAGACTCACCAGTGACGCTCGAATAAAAGAAGTTAGAAGGCCAAATAAAGTACAAAATTGAAGAGCATTGAGGACCCAAAATTGTGCAAGCTAGAAAAACGATCTCCAAAATACTTAGAGAGTCGAATAAATACTTTTAAAAACAATAGATTTTGGAATTTAAAATCTACTATTTTTGGGAGAACTAAAAAAACGCGATATTTATTTTTCCCCGCCCCGTCAAATGGATGTTTCACCACCATGCATTACATTCTGTAACTGTAACAACATAGAATAACATATCCACTGAATAATGTGCCCAGGCTTTTTACAGAGTTCTTGAAATTGTTTTCCCCTGGAGGTCCTTGAAGAAAGTCTGCTGGTCCTCACTATTATTTCTATTGCAAAATACCAAAATTGTGTCGGTCCTTTCCGTAATTTTTTTGGTCAAAACCTCCGAACCGCCAATTTTCGAGAACTCTTTATAATTCTTGTCGGATCAGTACTTATGTCGACCTTTATTTAAAATACAGAAGAACATTTTAATTAAAATGAATGGCAATATTTTAAGAACGAAGAAAAAGAACAAAAGTAATACGTACCGGTTTTCAATCGTGAAAATAACTGAGACTTTTTCCGCAACCATGGTAATAGTGTCTGTATTTCAAAATCTTGCCTGAGTTTTGGTGGCTTGGAAATGACTTGTATAACCTTAACCAGTGAATTAGACATTCTTTACTATCCACAAGTATAAGATGTATATCACTGAAGTTTATATGAAAATACTTTTTCACATATAAATACTTTAATCCGAAGATATAAATCGAAATTTTATTAAAGGTCGTTATACGGTTGGAAACGCCTACTTCACTAGAGTCGTCAAAATGCAACTATTATTTGGTAGCCACTTTAATTATTGTATAAGTGTTTTCGCATACATGATAAGAATTATTGTCATTCGTTATTTACATCCAAATGTCCCGTGGCGCATGACACCTTAATGATTTTACGACATTTTCAATTTTTACGGCAATTATCATAAGCTAGTTCGATGATGGTATTTTAACGATACCTTTAGCTGGCTAATTGGAAAGAAATCTATGTTATAATACAAACAGTGGTTTAACAACGTATTATAAATGTTTGGCGAAAGTAAATATTTCATAAACCAATAAAACAACGTGTGGACAATATTCAATACAATCATAAAATCAAAACTACATACATTAAACATACCCAAACATAAGGTTCAAAGCAAACGAAAGGTTTAAGTACAGAATTATATCTTTATTTCACCATCATCGAAACGTGTTTTCTTACCCCATTAAGCGGGTGTCACCCATAATTGACTTGTATTTACGAATAATTTAAAATGTATATTTACCAAGCTCTTCAGGTTGAAAAATAGGTTTATGTGGAGAAATGTTGACGAAATGGTTTACATCGCCATGAAGTTTTAATACTAGTGTATTTAAACACCAGATGGTGCATTCGTACTTTTAAAAACGTTCAAGTAAAAGGTTTGTTAAGAAATTATTTTCTATTGTTATGATTTAGAAAAATCATTTTCGGTTGAATTCAAAAGATATCATAAAGATTAGTTCATAATATTCTTATTTATTTTGCTGATTTAGTTAGTTGTAAGTGCAAATTATTGAATCTTGTATTTTCAATTATAATCTCTGTTTGTATTTCTCACTAACGAAACAACCTTCCGATGGAGCAAAATGATAGAGACATAAGACACAGCTCCTCCGACTGATGGTACGAACCCATCCCTTTGCATGAGGGGAGGGTATGCCGCGGGTTTGTAGGGCGTATTAATCCGCATATTATTTACACAATCAAATCCCTGCAAGGGCTGTAAACGACTAGATCTAACAAATAGACATGCTCGGAAATAGCGTAGCAATTTAGTTGGAAAATGTTGATCTTTATCATTAAATCTCATTCATGTGTAAACTGGAAAAAATACTGGATTTCAGCCTTTTCTTTTTTCTTCCTCGATTTTCCCGTACATATGTATTATGAAAATAATACTACATCTTTAATATTTTGGCGCATCAAAGTTTTTCTGGATTAACTTCATCAGGAAAGCCCGAATCCCAAAATTTTAAAGCAAAAGATGTTTAAAAACTTAACTAGTTGAAGTTCTATTTGACTGAAAAGACATAATCAGAACAGTTATCCCTAACTGGGTCATCTTTGTCTGAAGGTGTTGGAAACTTAGCTTCTTAATTATTTCTTATTTAAACAACGGTCTGTTTTAGAAAGGTATGTTATAAGTCATGTCAGTTCCGAACCACTGACCACTGAGGTTAAGTATTATTGCGAACTAGCATTCCATCAGCAGCGTTAAAGACCAGTGCTTTCAAATGAAAATAACACTTAAAAATTTGGCGCGTCCGAAACTGTTTTCTGGATTTACCTTCATCAGTATTGCATTTGATTAAAAAACATTATTAAAAAAAAAAAAGAATTACAAAAATCGTCCTGAAATTGCATGAAATATTTGACAGTGGATGTGAAACAGAATACTCATTATTATATAAAATACATACTAAGTACTAAGTAAACTCTCCCTAGATAAGTCAGAAATAACTCTCATCAATAACTAACGGCAATTCTTTTCTTGTTACAATGACCACGATCTTGGAAGTGCCCTCAGTATGATAAATACTAAACATGAGGAAAAGTATACAGTTATATATTATAAGTCATAAGATATGTCATATAAGAATAACGAGATGTGGTATGATTGTGAATGAAGCAGTTATCTACCAAAGACCATTAGGCAATGATAAGCAACTATAAGTGTACTGTTACCAGTGTTGATTTTTTATTGTTTAAAAGAAATTCTATCGATTTTTCATACGTTTTCCCGGACTTTTTTGATTGCTAGATTTTTTTGTACTTTGAAGTTCGTTACTTTCCCCCTTACTTTTTTGTTTCCTAAATTGAAAGCATGAACGTGGTCACACGCATTTAAAAGTATCTTAAACTACGCCGACTCACAATGTAAGTTTATAATTTATAGTTTTTAATGATTGTATGATGAAAGTTAATATGTTTTCACATCAAAATAAATATTGTGTATGTGTATATCAGCCAAAAGTGAAATATGATGATTGTTAATTTTGTCACTGTTTTTACAAAAGTATGGAAATCCATTTGGTGCTATAATGTTTGAATGATTTGATCGAAAATTTATTTTGATACATAGATTTGAACTGTTAGTTTTATGATTTTTGTAGTCATGAGTATGATGAGTTAGCTAAGGTTTTTTGTAGCTTTTTACCAACATCACAGCACATATATGTAGACTCATACTATTTAATGTTTTTCGGAATAAATGATTTTACCTGTTTGTGGCTTATGGTTATACTATGCACTGAGGCAGAACAGTAAAAAGATTGTAAAGACACAGTTTGATACAGAATAATATGCAGACATTATAGTTCCTACAAACAATTTTATGAAATGGCGCAATCACAACCACTTCCGCCTGAAACTACCCATGAACATAAGATGACAGAGAAAGGTCAAGAACTTTATGATACACACAAGGTAAAATACCTTAAGCGAATTGACGGGTCGTGGGAAATTGTAGAAAATTTACTTGAAGAATTTACAGATTGCTCAAAGGAGTTAAAACCTCTACGCAAACTAGAGAAAAACATTTTGAAGTCTCGTGAAAAATTCTGTGAAAACTCAAATAGTTATAATCAGTTTTTGACACGCAAGAACACTGAAGACAGTAACGAAACATTATCCACCTTTAAAACAGAGTTTAAAAAGTGCACTGAAATAATTGACAATACAATACAACAAATTAAGACATTGAAATTAACAGCTGCCGAAACAATGTCGGTAGCTCCTGTTAAGTCTGTCCATTCGAACAATAGTGGTAGAAGTGGCTCAATTTCGAGTTTAGTTATGGCTCAGAAGCGTGTAAATGCTGAAGTTCAGCGAACAAAGTTACAATATGCTGAACAACAAACAAAACTAATCAAGCAAAAAGCAATATCTAAGGCTCTAAGGGATCGTGAAGAGGCTGAAGTTGATGCGGATTTAGCACTGCTAAAACAACAGACAGATACCGCTGTCGCAGAGGCCGAGGTCAAAGTCTTAGAAGAAGCTGAGAGCGATAAAAGATCGTTGTCGTTACAAGATGACAAAGATCCGTTAGAAAAAGTAAAAATGACACTTACAGAGAAATATGTTAATGAACAATTTAAAGAAGTAGAACAACTCAAATCTCAAGACAAGAATAACAAATGTTCCACAAGTTATTCCGAACAATCAAGACAATTTTAGTTCACATACTCCGGCACCTCGGAACCAGTTTAACATAAATCCTACGCCAAGGAATGTGCCAAAATTTGAAGTCGATAATTTGGATCGATCAATAGCTGAAGATATTAAATCAGAAATTCGGCAAAAACAAACATTAAATCCGTGTGCAGCTGATTTTGAATTTACTCAGCCACCACTGCCACCAAAACATGATCAGTCTGTAGTGTCCAACTTGACTAAGTTTTTATTAAAAAAAGATTTATTACTTACTAGGTTTCAGAATTTTGATGACTGTGCGGAAACTTACGCTTCATGGAAGGCTACTTTTAAAAGTATTACAGAAGAACTTTCAGTTACGGCTTTTGAAGAAATGGACTTAATAGTAAAATGGCTCGGCCGTGAATCTTCTAAGTTTTCGCAAACTATTCGTGCGTCAAATGTGAACAATCCAAATACTGGTCTTCGTCGTATATGGGAGCGTCTTGACGAACGCTATGGTAGACCTGAGATGGTAGAAGCGGCAATTAAAACAAAACTACAGAAGTTCCAAACTTAACAAACAAGGATCATAGTCGACTTTATGAGCTATTGGATATTCTCACACAAATTGAATCTTCAAAAGAGAATGAGACATTTTCGAATTTATTGGCATATTTCGACTCTTCTTCTGGTGTTTTACCAATCGTGGACAAATTACCGTATAATATACAAGAGAAGTGGACAACACGTGCATCACAATACAAACTGAAAAACAATGTACCATTTCCACCTTTTTCGTATTTTGTGCAATTTATCAGAGAGGTTAGTGCTGTCAAAAACGATCCTGCGTTTATTTATAGTAATACTGAAGCATCATATTCTAGAAAAACAAATGATACACGGAAAGTTAACCATGGCGCAACGTCAGTGTTTAACCGAAAAACAGATGTTAATATTAAACAGAATGAAGAGAAAGAGGCTGTACGTTGTCCTATTCATAAAGCCAATCATCATTTGAATACTTGTCGAGCCTTTAAAGCAATGACTTATGAAGAACGTAGAAAGTATCTGAAGGACAATAAGATTTGTTTCAAATGCTGCCATTCGAGAACACATATGTCAAGAAATTGTACCGTAACGGTAAAATGTGAACATTGTGGAAGTAATTATCATATAACCGCTATGCATTTATCTGCAAAATCTAGTTCTCCTGACGGGGGGGGAGAAATCATCTGAAACAGCGCAAAATGCTAATGATCATACAGTGTCATCCAAGTGCACGTCATTATGTGGATTTAGTGGTAAATCATGTGGAAAAACCATTCAGGTCCGTGTGTACCCAAAGAACTTTCCAGATAAAGCCGTTTATGTGTACGCTATATTGGACGACCAAAGTAACAGGACTCTTGCTAAGACTGAGCTGTTCGATCAATTAGGTATAAATACATCAGCCATTCAGTATACTTTGTCATCTTGCGCTGGGCGCACTATCATGAACGGTAGATGTGCAGAAAGTCTGATAGTTGAGTCATTGTCTGGTAACGGAAAACTTGAAATACCTTCAGTAATAGAGTGCAGTGCAATCCCAGACGAAAAATCAGAAATTCCGACTCCGGATATTGCTAAATCGTATCCCCATTTACGGGAGATAGCTCATCAAATGTTAGATTTGAATCCAAATATAGACATTCAACTTTTAATTGGAAGAGATGTCCCAGAAGCGCACCACGTGTAT